CACTTTGTAGCTCAGGCTGCTCTTGAGCTCCCAATGATCCTCCTGCCTCAGCCCCCCAAGTGCTGAGGCTACAGGCATGTGCCACCATGCCTGGCCAAAGACTATACTTTCTCACTGAACTGACTTGCCACCTTGATCCACAGATCAATGTCCTTATGTATGTGCATCTGTTTCTATTTGCACTATTCTGTCCCACTGATATCTGTCTGTACATGGAATACTACAATGCTTACTGAAGCTTTATAGCTTGGTCTTGAAATCATGTGGTACAAATCATCCACCTTATTGTTTCTTTGAAATATTTTCTACCTCTTCTAATTTTTCACTAGAAGTTTGATAGAGATTGTATTGGATCTATAGACATATTTATTTAGAGAGAATTTGCATCTTCACAATTTTGAGTTTTATAATTCATGATCATGAGGTATATACATATATACATATTCCTTGTCTAACGACTGGGTTCCATTCCTAGGACTAAAATGTTAAAGGAACTGGTTGCTAAATGAGGAATTGTACATAGTGTGTACATTACCACATTCTGCACAAAAATATGGTCTAAGGAAGCTCCAACTTGATGACTTTGCTTTTATTTGAGTAAGTCTTACATGCAGTACGGTAATGTGCAGCAGTACTGTAATGTATAAAGCTTTGGTACGGTACTATACAATACCATCAGCAAAAATTTCAGTACTGTACTACAGAAGAGGCCCCCATGAGGCCACAGTGCTGCTCATGTCCCTGCATCGTAAGACTGAATGCAGGTTGAAAATCCTAGCGGCAGGTTGCAAGTCCAAACTGTGTGCCTGGGGGCCAAACATGTTCACTGGAAGAAAGATAACCTCCTAAATAAACGGTCTGGAGAAACTGGCTTTTCACATGCTGGAGACTAACACTAGACCTATTCTATCACCACGCATTAAACTAAAATCAAAATGGATCAAAGATCTAAATATTAAAACAGAAACACTAAATCTACTGGAAGAGAAAATTAAAAAATCTTGAAGACATAGGTGTAGAGAGAGACTTCACAAACAAAACTCAGATCGCATGGGAAATACGAGAAAGAATCAAAACTGGCATCTCATCTAATTAAAGAGCTTTTGTGCAACAAAAGAAATCACCAACAGAGTGAAGATACAACTTACAGAGTGGGAGAAAACTTTAGCCAGTTGTCACTCAGACAAAGGACTTATACCTACAACATATAAAGTACTGAAAAAAATCAGACCCCCAAATGCAAAGACTCAATCCAAACATGGGCATCTGAGATGAATACACACTTCTCAGATAAAGAAATACAAACAGCAAGTAAATATATGAAACAATATTCAACATCACTGGTCATTAGAGTGATGAAAATTAAAACACTTGAGATCCAATCTCACTGCAGAAAGAATGAGTATCATCAAGAAATCAACCAGTAACAGATGCTGGAGGGGCTGTGGAGAAAAAGGAACCCTTCTCTACTGTTGGTGGGAGTGTAGACTGGTGTAACCACTGTGGAAATCAGTATGGAGAGTGCTCAGAAATTTAGGATTAAATAAAACTGTGTTCTTTTTATACATGGAGTACTACTCAGCCATAAAGAAGAATAAACTTGAGACATTTATAGGTGAATGGATGCAATTTGAGACCATACTCATAAGTGAAATAAATTAGACTCATGTGTAAACATTGTATTATCTCCCTGGTGTGGAAAACTGAAAGAATAAATAAAGACCAAAATGTAGAATAGAGGGGCTGGGGATTTAGCTCAGCGGCAAAGCGTCTGCCTGACAAGCGCAAGCTCGTGAGTTCAGTTCCTGGTACCGGAGAAAAACCAAGAAAAAAAACAAAACAAAACAAAACAAAACCAAAATGTAGAATAGATATTGTGAAATGGGAAGAAATTGTTCAAAAGGAAAGAGGAACAAGGGTGGGAAAAAGGGAAAGGAAGGAAGGGAAAAGGAAAAAAAAAACAAGATAATTATACTACTAGTTTCTCTTAGTTCTTTGAAAAGAACAACATGCAATATATTACTGATTGTTATTCTTCTATTTTGTTATGAAATTTTGTTTTATTTTTTCCATAAAATAAAACAAACAATGACAACAAAAAAGGGAGTATGCTTAGTAGTAATCCTCAACAGTCATTAAACCGGTAGCTCATTGAACAAGGATTATCTGTATATATTTTTGACCCATATATGTTTGACATATATA